CCACTCGTGCCCTCTCCCCAAGGCACTCGCTCCTCGCACGCAGCCGGGCCCTTCAGGGCGCAGCCTGGCCTCTCCTCCCTTCCTTCCTTTCTTCCCTCGCGCCGCACTCTGTCCGCGTGTCACCTTAGCCCTCCGCAGCCAGCGAGGTCTCAGAGGGCCGTGGAAGCAACAAGTAGCCAAGACCCAGGACCAAGCGACGACCGCAGCCTATGGCGGGAGACACAGCGCGCAGAGTCAGCGGGACGCGGGCCCGCGAGCGCGCGGCGCTGAAGCGGTGCCGGAGACCACGCGAGGCAGGGGTCTAGACCACGGAGCACTAGACTCGGAGCGGCCCAAACGTGGAGCTCCTCCTCCTTCCTCAGCCTGCAGCCGCGCGCCGGAGGCCACGAGTGTCTGGGCCCCTTAAGAACGGGGAGCCAGGAGAGAAGCCTTGGACTGGAGCCCACCGGGTCAGGGACAGTCTTCAGGGCGCATGCCGCCGCCCTGTGTGGGTCCCTTGGACAGTCCCGCCTCAGCCACTCCGGCGCCCTGGCAGTCCCGTTAGCCCGTCCCTCCCGGCTCCGGGCGCAGCCCGGGCGGATCTGATAAGTGGTGGGTCCCGGTGCGGGGGGGGGGACTCTCGGCAACACTCCGGGGGGCTTTCCACGGAGCCCGCGCCAACGGGAGCCCAGTGCCGTGGGGTCGGGGTCCCTCCCGCTCCGAAGCCAGGTGGCCGGCGCCGCTAGGGATGGGACCTCTGGCTCGCGCTCCGGCCGCCTCCGGGGCCAGCCTCTCCGCCCTCCTCCGACACGGCTCCAGGCCTTACCTCGCTCGGACTGGGAGCCGAGGGCAGCGGTGGGTCCCAAGTTCAAGTGGTGAAACTGAGTACGAGGTGGGAAAGAGGAACTTTATAGAGCTTAAAAGCCGCGCTGGGGCGGAGCCTGGGGTGGAGCCTGCAGCGGGCGGGGCGGGGCGGCTTCGCCAGCTGCGGAGAGTGGAGGGCGAAGGGTGGAGGGCGAAG